TCAACGTTCGCACTGGTCTCCGCCAAGGCTGCGTCCTGTCCCCTATTCTGTTTGTGTTGTACATGGATAGGATAGTCACGAGCTGTCAAGGCGACGAGGGTATCGTTGTAGGAGGTATGAAGTCGAGAAGGTTGCTGTTTGCAGATGACCTTTCAATGCTCTCTAGAAAAGTTCGCAGCCGAGTACGACGCGACCGGCATGTGTGAACGTATCTGAAACGAAAAGCCTAGTGCTTTCTCGTTTTCCTGCCTGTTGCTCTCTTCAGATTAACGGAGAGGCAGTGGAGAAGGTAGAAAAGTTCAAGTACCTCGGAATTGTACGTACTAGTGATGGAAAATTGGAGGAAGAAATCGACAGGCGAATTGGAATGGCCACTGGCGTTCTGCGTGAACTAGCCTGACCCATTGTGACTAAAGCAGAGCTCAGTCTGAAAACTAAGCTCTCGATATTCAAATCGATCTTCATCCCATACTTACCTGCGGTCATGGGTCGTGGACCATGACTGAAAAGTTTCGAAACCGGGTACAATCTTTTGAAGTGAGCTTTCTTAGACGAGTCGCTGTCATTACGCGTCTCGTCATGGTCAGAAATAGTGACACCTGGAAGAGCCTTGGTGTACAGCCTTTGCTTCTCCAGATTGAGAACTCACAGCTGCGATGGCTTGGGCATGTGTTGCGAATGCCTCCAGAAATGAAAGCTCAGCAACTGTTCCTTGCAAATCCGACCGGCAGAAGGCCCAGGGGACGGCCTTTGAGATTTTTGAAAATTTGTGGGAGTACGCCCAGCTGGTGTACATGTATTTTGTCTTTTTTGATTCCGTATCCAAATTATTTGAGCAACAATATTTGGAGGATATTTGAAGCTTTTAATTCTCAACGAATTTCAACGTATTTCCGGTGTCTGTGTTTCTTAAATGATACCCACCTTATAAATCTCACACTCATTTTATCGAAGAGCAAGCATCTATATTTTTAATAGGATTTACATTTGAAAACTTTTCAAAACTGTCACGAATTCGTTCTCAACTAACCTTTAATATTATTTAATGAAGAACATGTTTTCTTTTTTCTATTTGAAGACATTTGTTTGTTCATAAAACGTGATTGAATTTTCTTTCTTCACTACTGCATGCCACCATTATATTATGCTTCATAAATATCAAGATGAGCTGTTTTATTTTCCAGTAATCGAAACTGGAACAGTTATTAATTAGTTATATGGAAATGCAGTCACTAAATCGACATATAATATTTTATTACGAACGCTAAGTAGTTCTTATCAAAAAAATTGATAATTTATGATGAAATTTGTTATCTAGGTTTCGGAATAACTGCTAGCATTCCCTATAACTGCCAGGAGAAGGCATTAAGTTTGAATGGAGCCTTCATATTATGCTTAATATCTCAAAAAGCAGTTTGATGGGTGTCTTGAACTGCTTTTTTTATTAAAAATTTATACTAACAAAATTCTTAGAATGATTAGGAATCCAAGCAATATTATATTTGAGCAATTTCGTCTTTCTGTTGATCATAAGCCGAACTGCAGGTAGTATATGTTGGAATGTGATTGTCAGGTGGCCGTTATCGCTACGACGTTCAACATACTGTGGGAGCTATTCGAGCCAATTGAAAATTGTTTTTCGGGGAAGTAGTAGATACGTCCCGTTCTGAATTCTTATTTCTTTGCGAGTAGTTCGACTGTCGAAAAGACTACAGTTTGTAAAAGATGGCAGGTAGTCCAGCAAAGCCTAAAGTTTTTATGGACATTTCCATCGGAGGAGAACCGGCCGGTCGCATAGTTATTGAGGTATGCGCTTTGGTTTTGCAGCGTTATAGTTAGGAGAATGGCGGCGATAGTTTTTGCTGAAGTGTGATGCATCAGCGTTTTTAGCTGTGCAGTTTAATGCAGTGTTCATTTTATATGTAGAAAATTCACATTTTTGATAGTTTTATCTTTATACTTGGAAACGAACGTTGGCTTAATTATTGCATAACATCAGTTTTCAAATTAATTTCTGACTGGATCGATAATGCCTTATACAGATTAAAATAAATTTCCCTAGTTTTTAATGGTTATTATAAACGCATTTTACGACGTTGGCTTTGGTACGAAGATACATCTGCATTGTACGTAAACGTGGCATGTAATCGATATTGCGGTGGCGCCGTCACAGCGTCGAAATACAAGGCCAGCACTGCGCGCTGCAGCAGCGTTCTCTAGTCCTTGCGATAGGACAGCGCCTCTGCAACTACCACAACTTTAAAACCAGGGCGATTAGGACTAATTAGTTACTTTCGTGTTCTTTTGTAGCTTCGCAGCGATGTCGTTCCGAAGACGGCGGAAAATTTCCGAGCCCTGTGTACAGGAGAAAAAGGCTTTGGCTACAAAGGCAGCATTTTTCATCGAATTATTCCAAATTTTATGTGCCAGGTACCGAAAATGCTCCTGTACCACAGATAACTAATCTAAACTGGCATCTAACTTAATATTTAAGGGTGGAGATTTCACGAATTCAAATGGAACGGGTGGTAAATCTATATATGGCGCGAAATTCGAGGACGAAAACTTCCAGCTAACTCATACCGGTCCAGGCATTCTGTCTATGGCAAACGCTGGCCCTAACAGCAACGGGTCGCAGTTCTTCATTACAACCGTGAAAACTTCTTGGTATCGGATGGAACCAGTTTGTTTCGCTGTGCATGCTCGGTTTTAGGCTGGATAAGAAACACGTAGTTTTCGGCAGCGTTGTCGAAGGAATGAAAATTGTGTCTATGATGGAAGCCCAAGGAACGGATAGCGGAAAGCCAAAAAAACAAGTGAAAATCACGGATTGCGGGCAGTGTGCATGAAATAGTTGTTTGATTGATGAATTAGCGTAAAGTCGTTCTCATTAAAAGATTGCTTAATTCTGAAGTCATTTCTTTGTCCATAAAGGCTCAAAACAATATCACGGCATGTATATAAATGAGGAATTACTCATTGCTGAATTATCACCTTTCATATATAAGTCCTCGACGTAGTTTAGTGGGATGATTTTATTGTTTAGGCCCTAAACGGTCTTTATTTTCCATTTTTGTTTTCTGAAATATGTTACCTGATTATATGGGTGAATAACTTAATTAATGCATGTTTCCTGATGGGCCTGAATTTCCGATTAAAAATTTTCTTAAAATGCATGTGAAATGTTTGCGTTTTTTTATTGGTCAAGACTTTTAGACAGGATACTTTGTAGTTATATCCATTTAAAAGATTAGCAGTAATGTGCATCACTGCAGTATGTTGGATCAGGTTAATTTATAATAATCAGATCAGTAATTTTTAAATATATCATGCAGTTAGGAGTAGTGGTCGATAGATTTGAAGAGTTGGCTTAAACATTTCACTTTTATCAGTGTATAATATCAATTTGCACATGTTTAGCCTTAAATCACGTGGCCGGATATTCGGCGACCATTAACGCCGGCCGTAGCGCTGTGTTGCCATATCGCATGAAGTTTCGTCACCCTCTGGCAGGATGAAGGGTGGTCTGGGGAGTTACGTACACACGTAACCCCCAGTTCCGTCCGGTTAATTTTCATGGCTGTCTCCTTTAGACTTGAACGAATGGGCGTTTAACCCCAAGGCACCGGTGCCATTTGCGGCCTTTTTTCTTTTAAAAGGGCAGGTCGCTTTCATTAAGCATTGTGACTTTCTTACCTATGAACTTTTCGAACTCTAACCCAGCTACAACCTGCTTGTCTCATTGCTGCCTGGCCACGACTACTTATTTGTCGTAGCTAACCTATGTATGTGAAGAACGTTCTCATATCCGCAACCCGGGCATGCGCCAAATGGCCATGAGCTAATCACACTGGACCTTATGTTCATTCTTAACCTTTAGCGCTGCTTTGAAGGTTAGTATAATTCTGTTGAGAGTTTGGAGACTTAGTGTGTCTGTAAGTCGAATTGTACTACTGGTGATTCGGTAACGAAGTCTTGTTGCGTATGCAAATAATCGGAACTGTAGTGCGCCACGAGGAAATAGTGCAGAACTGCAGAAAGTACTTAATTTGCCTATTGAGAAGACGTCAACGACCAGTGAAGAGTCATGTGTATATTTCTTGTTCTCCCAATACATGGTTTGTTTTTGGGCGAGTTTGGTCGAAGTCAAGTTGCCGTTTTCAACTGTTCGGTTAAGCGGTTAGTTCTAGTATTATTGGAAAATTGTATTTTCACAGTTTTGTCTTTTGGAGAAATCAGTTTTCGAAAATGTTAATATTCATGAACGCCATTTACAGAAAGTTTATAAATACCCTATATTCTACCTTATTGATCGTAGAAAATGTTATCCCTTGCGGTGAATAATGGGGTTTGGATCTTTAAGATGATGGTTGTTCGGTACAATCTATTTTTTGGGTATGGTCTATGAATTCAAAGGCATGTCGTAGAATAGCTGTTTCAGGCAAAAGATTTTATATAAGATGAATGCTTTTCCTGAGGTAGTTGATTGGCTTTTTAATGTTTTTTGATGCATACTCTGTGTGTCTGGTGAGACGACCTGAAGTAACTAATCGCTCTTCGTTTAAGAAATTTTGGCATGATTTATGCTTTTGTTCGTCGTAAATTCACGGTTTATTCCTGACCATAGCTTTCCGTAAAGTTTCTCCAAACGTTTCTGCAACTCTGCTGGGTCGTAGTCGCACAAGGGTTCCTCTAGTCAATGATTCATTGGCTATAATTGTGGTTGACTGTATAGATTTACTTAGCTTTAAAAATTGTTTTGACAAAAATGAATCAACGATACATCCCTTGCGGAATGCCTCTCACATCAATGTCCATCACATGGTCAAGGTACGTTTGTTGCAGCCGAAAGTGTAACAACCATTACAGTTGAATACAGTCTTCTGACCTATTTACGACTGCTTAGGATCGCTATTATGTTATATCATATGAATAAGTACTTTGAAGCGTTGTTGAGTAGCCTAATCTGTGAATTTTTGCTGTTGATAGTCGAGATGTAATGTGATTTTCAAAGTTTCGATTGGCCTGAAAGCCCAGTAATCAGTTGTCAGTCAGTATTTTTTTTCGAAATGTGATATTTGTATTGTGAGAGTGATGATGGGCTTCAGATTTACTATTTTTCATTCCGTTTTGGACTTGTTGACTACTTATCAAACTTTTTTGAATTCGTTATATAAAGTGTGCTGTTATCAGCATGGTTTTTTCTGGAATGTAACTGTTGTCGTAGCTATGGGTAGCGAAAAGAATGCGATGATGAACAAGCGTAGCGATAAGCTGAATCGTGACAATGTGAAAGCCTAGTTTCTGCCATCGATTTTCGAT